AAATCAATAAGATGGACAGTAAACTAATATCTGTTAAAAAAAGTATAATCAGAGAATAGAATCATAATTTTGTTATAGTATATTAGTATGACCATAAGGATCTTATACGATAAGGGAAATACAATATCGTTGACAAAACACGAATTGACAAAAACTACGATTACTTCGCCTAAAACTTTATATCACACTGAGTTGCGGAATATCAGAAGACAAAACTTGTTATGACTGAGGACGATTCCTATTGAAGAAAAATACCACTATTTAAATTCACTTTTAAATAATACAAGATTACAACCAAAAAGCGACTACGTAGTTTTTGGTGAATTCTCTAACAATAAAACGGATTCCTCAATAAGGACTTCATAATCACATAACAGAGTGAATTGAAATTCCCAGTATAAAAATTGAGACCTCATTGATCAATGACATGAAAATTTGATTTTCAATTCAACCCATTCCCACAACACACTTTCTCTAATCTCCGTCCTCATAGCCAGTTGATATTCACTAATAAAAAAATGTTCCGAAGCTTGAAAAATCTAAGTGCTCTTCTAAATCAATGAAAGTCTTGCGAATGTTATTTTCAACATGATGCAGTCGATCTGAGTTCATGGAATTTTTTCAGTTTTATTCACTGGTCCGTAAGTACACAGAAACTCAATTATAAACAGGGTTTTTCAATTTCATCATTTTCAAACAACAGTCCCTCAAGTTATTGCATGAGTGAATGATAAACAAACGTTCACTTATATAATGAGTCTCTGGCAAAATCGGAATCTCAGTCATTTACGTTTTAAAAGGATTTCGATCAAATTCATTTTGTGCTCTAGATGCTTTATATACACATGTGCCATTTCGCTACAGAAAACGACTAACCAGTTATGATCATTTAATATCTTTTTAATCAGTGTTTTGTATCAATAGATCAGGCTTCATCAAGAATTACCACTTAACCACACTGTTCATATCAATTTAGGAAATCGATCACGCACGTCATGTGCATATGCAGTTGTTACAATCACTTGATAATCAAACTCAATTATTAGATTTCACTTCTCTATAACCATTACACAGAAAAATAAGTAGTTTTTTGTGCACAATATCTTATATTCGAATAAATTACTAATCTATCAGCTACTGTTAATTCAAATTGGTTGAAATAAATAGTTTAATGAAATATAATCACATTTTTTTCCATAATCAACACCACAGTTAATTAAATGGTATATTCAATTGTTGATTGGAATATCTGAAGTTGAACAAAATTGGTTGTATTTCGGTTGTAATTGAAAATACAACAATGCTTAAACTATAGTTTTCATTCACTTTTATATAATACGGTCTATCAAAGTTACCCTTGTTGATGTATACTTTAGACGTAAATAAAGAGTGTTCAATATTTTGTTACTCAATTCATCTGGTGAATAACATTTGTTAACTCAATATTTATCATAAATGGGTACATGATAATTAATTTATCGGTACTTAATTGAACATTAAATTTATCAATAAACAAAACACATGGTATTCACATGTCTGAACATAACAAGGAATGTTTATTCGAAATATTATCAGAAACTTCCGTCAAGAGATACACTTAATTAGTTGATCACCTTTTTTTAAAAAATCAGTTAGTCACATTTAAACATTTTTTTACAGGTTACAAATAAAACGATGTTAGTACTCACTAGATAACCAGTTTTCTTCTATTTATTTAGAGTTTGGCAGGAGGAAACAATGGATTGGCAATTCATAGTTATTTGTGTACATATTTATTATCTTCCGACGCAAATGGTATTTGTAAACGTGTCACAATAAAGAACGTTGACAGTCCTGATACACTAAATTGTAGATTTTCAAGCAAAAAAGAGGCTAAGAATGGAGTCCAATACACACGCGTAACCCTATTTGGGACTTATCAGCTGTATCTCAGTGTTAATTTTTACATTGAGACTCGAACCCAGTACCTTTGGCATCAAATACCCAACAGGTTATCCCTTGAGTTAATGAAGCTCAAGCAGGAATGCGAATGAACTATATTTAATTTCACGGGTTTGAATCTTTCCATCGTCAATTTCATGGACTGCAATCGATCAACCACTTCTAAAATATGTCCATCCTTAATGGAATGCCTAGATATTGACATTAAGTCACAAACATATTAAAGAAAATTCAACAGCACAATTCATCCCCGTTGTACAAACCAGTAGCTATTCGGACTCAGTAGCTCACTGAATAACCCGTAGGGTATTTAGTGTAAAAGGGATTGAGTTCGAGTCCTAGTGTACAGGTACATCCTGCTGATGAGTCCCATATAGGTATAGACGAGTGTTGGACCACGTTGCTAGCCGCTATAGAACTTTACCTAAAAATGCTTGACTCTATACCAATCTCCAGGCGATCCATTCAAGATGCATATATGCCAAAAGACACCGATCTACCCAGAGATTGTTAAATATTACACAAAACATTTCTTTAGAGAAAAACGTTTGCTATACATTCCCAGGTTCCTACTAACTTTCGAAATTACTTTATTAATTTTTCGAATTTAAATCTCCAGTTTACTTACCTTTTTACGTTTGTAATTTATACACGCAAATCTCCATTCATCGATTAATTCATTTACTTCCTTCACATATTTATTTGTAAAAATACTATTCTTCGTAAAACATTGTTAAAAAACGGTTAGCAGAGATGGATAGTGGCTAGCAGTGGAATCCAGGACGCGCGTTTCGTCCCATTTGGGACTCGTCAGCTGGATGTACCTGCATCTCAGAGTTGATGTTCACTCTGGGACTCGAACCCAGTACCCTCGCTTCAAACGCCATCGCGTTATCCACTCGGCCACTGAGTCCTGATAGCCACTTGCTTGTGTGATGGAGTGAAGTTTAAATTCAACTTAGTATTGTTTGTTTGAATCTTCCCATCGATTTTGTTAGGACTGCAACTGGTCAGTCTCTAATCTCTGCTAACCATGCTTGTGAATTAAGGTATATCGAGGCAATACGCACAGTATGCACATATGCCAATTAGAGACTGACCAGTTGCAGTCCTAACAAAATCGATGGGAAGATTCAAACAAACAATACTAAGTTGAATTGTTAAAAAAGATTCGATTAGAGGCTAATTGGTGGGCAGTTCGAGCTTGATATTTCAAAATTATTATTTCATTAGATAATTCAATAGTACTGCTGAATAGTAAATTAATTTTCTAAACATACTATAATATTATCCATTCATTTTAGATAATTCATCATAGTTTCTTGGAATTGGACTTCCGTAATATATTTGTTTAGATAACGGTTTAACTAAGTGAATTTCCACTGAATGCAGTTAGTTATTGTTAAGAACCAAGGTATTACACCAATGAATGATGAATTCGAAAAATGAGAAATAATGATTTGGTACATATTAAGATCGTTAATTCTACTCGAAAATCACAAAAGACTACCATAGACAACTCATATACGACTATTCGAAATATTATACATGACTGACAAAGTAATCATGCTGTTTATATTAACAAATTTCTCCTAATCGCACTTCGACTATTATCACAGATGCATCTCTAACATAATGAGAACAAAACTATTCGTAATGTTTAAAATGTATTCAGGCTATTAATAGTTCAAACGACCAAGGATTGGACAATTATACAGTGAAACACAATAAAATTCCAGTAGACAAAATTAGTATATTTCATCTACTTACCACATACTTAATCATTCATACGTATTATACAATAAACGTATATACAAAAGTTCAAAGTTAATCATATGAATAAATGTACAAAGTAACACATGAAACTAGAGTGATATATTTAGTTGTTATTCCTTTCCTATCTTATACAGCAAAAACAAGTTAAGACTCACAAGTAGCAAAGTCTTCATAATATAATGCATAGAAAAAAGCTTTATAAATGAGAGAGTAAGCTAATATGCTAAAATAGTTATCTATAATTAAGTTCGAAAATTCTAATTTTAACCGTATTTGACACAGTGTTTTCAATAATGACATCTAGATGTGATTTTGGACATTAACAGTACAACCCTAACATTGAAATTGTAAGATACACTAAAAATGAATAATGACAGTGTACTATTGTGAATTATTGATGTTGATACAATAATGATTATTATCGTCATTTTTCTTAATATTATCATAACTTTTTCAACTTGACAATCACATGTAAATCATACCTTAGTTTATAGGTTACGACATATACTGTGTTATACTCTGCTTTGTTCATTTATCTTGATGACATTTCTTGACGAACGAAAACTCTCCTGAAATGTATCACATCTATTCTTACTTGTGTGTAAGTTGTTATCGTTAAAAAGTGTCATTGTATGTATTGATCATTCGACATACCAACCTAGTTGTATTACATCCGCTTTCGTATTAAAAGTATTCCTCGTTGTATTCTTACTTTAAACTCAAACTCATACAAATTATAATACAAAACAAGTTAGAACTAAATGTAAATTAGAAGAAAAATGTTCAAAGTTTTGATATAAAAAATAAAATTTGATAATGAACAAACGAACGTGGATAATTCATAGAGCAGATGAAATATTTTTTTTAAAAAAATAAAAAAAGAAACGACTCAAAGATATTTATCTCGCCTTTCACGAGATTGAACTTAAAAATCTGACTCCTAAGATAATCTTCAGTAAAAATTACACAAGAAAAAAATAAAGAAAAACAGATTTTACATATACATAGTACACTTTTTATACATTTGAGAACAAGGAAACACAATTGGGAAGATTATTTATACAAAGTATGATAAAAAGGGTTGAATTGAATGAGGACACAATAACATATTACATCATAAACAAGATACAAACTGATCGAGAAAAAAAAGTCCAACAAATCATAATAATGTTGTATACTTTTAAAATATTTTTATGCGGCTTGAAGGTAAATAACGTTTCTCATATGATTGACAGGATATCTGGCTCGTCGATTCGTAACTTTTTAGTTAGCAATTAACGATTTCATTCATGATACCTATTCTGTAAATAAAAACATTTTACCGTTAAATGTAAATATATACGTAGTCTAATCACTAAAAAGATCTTGTTTTAGCACAATATGGCCTTCCTATATCCTATGCAACTGAACTTTTTAATACTAACCTCATTACTCGAAAATATTTTTAAACACAATGAACATTTATGCAATAAACTTTTCATGAGTATACATAAAAAAGGAACAGTAAATATTGACAAATGAATTATCTGAGTATCTCGCAGTTATCAACTGTAGATGAACATCTCAAAAATGTCAAATGTGACAAAAATTGATGGCCGAAGCCTAGGTCAACCGATAGACAAATGTTAGATTTTCAAAAGCATGGTGATAAATCTAATGTTCCTGTATACATTTCAGACATCTCGAGAACTAATGACCAGAATTAATACATAAAGAATAGAATACCTAATTCCGGATGTTCACTGTAAGACGATACCCCTGCACACTAATAAATACAGAATAGTGATACACTTGACTTTTTCTTGTCTCATTATGCTGATGAAGTTGAGAACTACATGAAAACTACAGATACTTGACTACAAGTAGTTGCAGAAAATAAACTGTTTGATAGATGTTAAATTTAATTAAACGGTTTTAGGTAAGGAGGGTAGTCAGTTCACCATATTGTGAAGATGTACCGACAGAAATGGAAAGAACATTTATTGTATACTGTACGCTATAGTATACTTAAATGTTTGATAATGAATGAAAGTGATGGTAAAACCTTGGGTTGGTCAAATAAAACCTAAGATCAATTGACGACCGGTAGTAAATGTTTTGATTGTCCGTTTATTAGTTATAAGAAAACCATAGTAAGATTGGTTAAATGATACAACTCAAAATTATCCATAGGGCAATAGACTTTACCTTGTTGTTAGGTCATGGACAAGAATATATGCATGGTTCAAACGTATATTTTCTAATTCATTTAAGCACTTTTTTCTTTAAGCCCACACCGTCATTTGCGTCATTGGGATGAGACATAATTGGAATTCATATACCATTAATACTTTGTTTACTTGGTTTTGAGAGATAATTTAGGTCTAAGGGCTGTTAATGAAACTATCTAAGCCAAGGAAGCTAGATTAAGATTCGAACCAAGGACTCAGTTAGTATGATCTGCCATCTTCCATAGAAAACACTTTTGTTCAGTATGCGGATGACCTCAATATAAGTACACCGATCCCTACCTCTTCACATCCACCTAAACAAATGAGCTGTTTCTAATGAAACGATGGTCTGTTGTTAATGGTCTCACATTTAATCCCTCTAATGTGAAACTGTTAGTTTTAACCTGAGACGTTAATAGAGCTAAAACGCCTGGTTGGAATCCCATAAAGTCTGTACTATTGGAGATTCGTAATAAAAAGTTTCATAGGTCATTTATTTTGGTGAAAGATTTTTCTTTGATCTCTCTTTGTCATCTCATGTTTTATTAACATCGGAGAATTTTTTCTGTCTGACTTATTAAATGGAGAAGCTGCATGCTTTCGGCATTTAAATATTGGTACAAGGAAGCACCAAATACATATGCGCCTCACAAATCTCATTCGATTTGTGTGAGGGCTGTGATACTGCCCATGTGCCCAAACCGAGGCAGGTGGTTTTCTTAGGTGGCCACAACCCGAGCCTTTAACCTGAAAGTTTGATCCACAAGGCAGTGGAACATCGTGAGGAAATACAGTCCCATGATAGCCGATGATCAACGATTGATTCATACGCCATTTGTTCCCTCAGGATACTGGAGCCCATGTGCACCATTGGTTTCAAATCAGGGTTTTCCAACTCCCCTAGGTGGACTCGGCGAGTTCACCTAGGCAATACTCGATATTTACTTTTACGATGTGTGAATTCCTATATATTGCCTACTATTTTTTACTATTCCCTATTATTCTGACTTGGACTTTTGAGGAAAGATTGTGTTGTGTTACGGAGAGTGCTGAAGTGAGTTAGTTTAGTGTGATGGATATATAATTAAAATCTCGCAAACTCTTGATAAATGCTATCCTATCAGACACTAACCACCCACTACATTTACATCTTTCTCGTTATATACCTTCCAGTAGGACGAGGCGCCAATACATAAGAATCTATGCATACAAGCCAAAGTAACAAAGCTCTACAATACCGTAACTGGGAAATATACTATGCAACGAACAGGTTGTAATAGCGAAATTAGTCAATAACTTGTATTCCTGAACATGTTGCTAACCAGAAGTTGTACAGATTTTCATCTTTTTGAAAACCTTTCATTTAATTTCAGGTAGTCTATTTAATTTATATATATATGCAATTATCGGTTGTCGTTATTTTTAAACTTTGCAAGAGAAACTTATGGAAATATTTTTTCCTTGGGAATTCCATATCGTACTAACCATGTAATATTGAATAAAGCCATTAATAATAACAAGTGTGGTTACTTGTCAAATGTTTTACTCAGAGTTAATGTTCGTTATCCATCAATCAATCCTAGGTCTTTTTCTATATTCTAGTATTTTTATTATATTGCTTTTCACAGTTACTACTAATGGAACATGATTAAACAACAAAATTTCTTCTAAAAATGAATACTTTAACATAAATTTTAGAATACTGAAGGGGTAACACACATTGAACAACAAAGTATCTGATGCGTATCAAATCACAAAAACTTACTAAGTAAGCAACACATGCACTCAATGGTATCCATACGATAAGTGATAAAAAGACTGCGAAAAATACCAGATTATCCCAAGCAATAGTGCCTATTGTTTTATTTATAAAAAAAATCAATCAACGATGAAATGAATATATTTTCAAAACAAGAGTCTGTTTTTTAAAAAAACGAACAGGAAAACAACTTGAGTAAAGTATGGGGTTTTTAAATGGTATCTGTTTTTATATTTTTTGGAAACATCGATAATCAGAACAGTTAGTGATTTAATGTTTAGGAAATAAGCTATGGTGTGATACATATGAGTTTCATAGTTTGAAAAAAAAGTGTTACATTATAAAGTTTGACAACACGAACTCAATCTTTAAAGATATAATGACTGCTTATTGACAATATGATAAATAACGAAAATTCTACTAATGTAAAATGTATAGTTAGAATTACCTTAAATATCTATGACAAGAAATTTATTTGTTTGATAACTGAAAATAAAAATAACATTCGCGTATTTTTTTCATTTATGTAATTAAATTATAACTCTGCCTGTAGCTCCTCCGGGGGCTACTACCGGTCCCAAGCCCGGGTAAAGGAGGAGGGTTGGGCATGGGGTTAGCGACCCCATCCCGTAGAAAACCAACTTGCTAAAAAAACGCTATAATTAAACTATGACTGAATGATTCACCATACATCTAAGTTTCAGTCAATGAAGTACAAATTTGAAACTTGGTGTACCTAATCAGCCATAGACAAGTAGGAACTACCATTAACCCCCAGTATTTTATAATTGACAACACAGTACGTATATACATGATTGCTGAGTGATGGCTAAGTGGTTCAGATATTCGACCTTCAACTGCTAAGAAGCAGGTTCGAGCTCCACTTCACCAGATTCCGGATATGATCACTAGCTCTCACACTAAGAGGATGACTTGAAGTTAACGACGCGAATATGCGTCTCTTAATAAGTCGGTAATAGTAACAAGATTTTATATCTCACAACCCAATAATCTTTCAACCACAAGATCAATTTTATTATGTGGAGAGCTTGTTAGGAGATTCTTTGATGATTTTAATGATTATATTTATATGTATAATCACCGATAACTATATAGAGAGAAAGCTTGAGCTTTCGTATGCAAGAATTAAATTTCTGGGTTTGATTCCCACCTACAAAATCGTGGATGGGCAGTGTTGAGAAGTCCCATACTAAGACAAAACGGACTACCAGTGCTCCAAAAATTCAAACGGCTGTTCAACTTTGATCAGTTCATGATTTCAGTGGAATTTAACAGACTCTACAACCCTTTACCGATATATATAATACGGTCAAACACACAAAGACTTTCAAACATCGATGGGTTAAACTAATAAAGATAATAATTATTTAGGTGAATATATATATATATATATATACAAATTAAAATTTTCTCAATGATAAGAATTATATTCAGTGATTAGAACAAGACGACCTTAAATAATAATAAAAATTGGTGAATATACATGTGAATAAAAAAAATGATACCTACTGAAATTCTTGTGTTTAGAATAATGAACTGGTGCCCAAAATCGTAATATCCGCTTACTTTTCGATTCTATACATTTCCCCGCCATACAATAACCATTAAGACATGGTCTATAGTCTTGTAAATGAATATGTACCAAAGGTTGTTCATGATAGTATGAATTAATATTTTTTAAATTAATTGTAGGTAATTTTTGACTTTCATTATGAACAACAAAATAATATGTATCATTTGATGAATGTTTATCATATAACCGTAATATATTAGATGAGAATGGTAACAATTTATGCATAGAATACAGAATTAATTGTTTTGAATGATAAATCATTGAATAGGATTTTGAATGTTTTACAGTATTCTGTTTAGAATATAATAGATATTCATTTTGTGTCAATATGACAGGAAGGCATATGGTGCTTTGATTTTTAGTTGAATTTGATGTTGGAAATAAACAGCAAATAAAGCACGATTCTTCAACTATTTGCATTAGAAGAATGAAAAAAGAGTACATATTAAGTGATATTTTTATATTTGAAAACTTAATCTACTGAATTATAAATGTAAGTAGTTAGTACAATCTATCATTATTTACGCCCCCAAATACCCTGGTACGGTCAAGAGTGGGGATAGTGCGCTCTCTTCCTCTTGAATTGCTCTCATATAACCACGCGAATATAGCCTCTGTCAGGGAAGTCCTACTCACTGCCTTATCGTGACGGAGGTGTTGTTTACGAAATTGAGAAAACGAAAAGCGAATGTCCAGCGCTTTAACCAGGTTGGTGGACACGTTGAGTCCACCTAGGGAGTTGGCAAACCTTGATTCCAAATCAACGGTGTACATGGGCTCCAGTATCCTGAAGGAACAAATGGCGTAAGAACCAAACGTTGATCACCGACTACCATGGGACTGCATCTCCTCACGATGCTTCACTGCCTTGTGGGTTAGACCTTTAGGTCAAAGGCTCGGGGTGTGGCCACCTAAGAAAACCACCTGCTTCGGTTTGGGCATCCGGGTAGTATCACAGCCCTCGCAGAAACAAGTGAAATGATTATATCTACTGACAGCACCATTCAAGCTCCTATTAAAAGTCAGACAATGTATATTACTATTTACCATATTGATTATTCACTCCCTTTTATTCACAATTTGTGTACCCTTACTTTTCAACTTGTGCAGCAGCTCGCCCATGGTGGAAACTCTGTCCTATCTAAACGATCTCCAGTCACTGTTTGGTCGAAAGTGAATGCTTTCACCGAATACAAATACTGAACCAGTCTTTCTGAAACCACGTACACCATTCAAGCTGGCTTCCTTCAACGTTCGCACACTAATGCAGATCGAACAACAGATAGGGCTGGTTATGTCTTTGGAAAGTCTTAATGTTGATGTTTGCTGTCTATCCGAGACCCGTATTCAAGACTCTAGTGAAGTACTACAAATTCGCTCTCCATCTGTAGCTTCGAAAAGCTTGTTTTACGTGCATTTATCCGAAGACCCTGTGGCATCCTCGTCTGGTCTTGCTAGCGTTGGTGTCACACTAAGCGCTAGAGCTGAGGCAGCACTAATCGATTGGATCCCCATTAACAGTCGGTTATGTGCTGTTAGATTAGAAAGTCCCATCAAAATGAGAAGAAATCGGTGTGAGAAACTATATCTTTTTGTTATCTCCGCCTATGCCCCGACAGAATGGTTATAAATTAGAAACCTATGCACCATGGAGGCTTCTGCAACCTGTTGATTGACTTTCACAATGATCTCTCATCTATCAACTTTATCTTACTATATTTTACTTGTCCTCAAGTCACTTCTTAACCTACTTTTAATATTCACTAAATCCGAATACTTTACAACACAATTTTACACTACTTTTTAATAGACCACTGTAAACATTAAGCAATTTTAAACACGATTGTACAGTTCACTAAAAGATACCATCAAAAAAGAGAAGTTTTGCTGAACAGTTCCTATTTTGTATTAATGATGCTATCAATTTTTTATAATATGTGTATCCAACCTACCTGAATCACAGATACAAGTTTCCAGCCCAAGACTAAAACAAAACGGATGACATTTACCCTGAAAACATCGCCCGTGTTCATCACATTGACCACCGGATAAAAGTGTTGGACCTGGACAAGTAGATGATAAACCATTACACTGACCAGGTCCTAAACAAGGATTAGTACTACTAGTTTGTGCACAAATAGTATTCTTTGGTGCCAACTGACAATCTGTATAAAGAAAAGTAGTAGAAATATTAAACAACGGGTCGATTTACAAGGAGCAGTTTACAAACACTCAAGAGAAAAAACACCATGTTTTTCACGTTAAAACAGATAGAAGAACTATTCGAATACACTAACCCAATTACTGAAAGTTGAGTGTGACTTAACAACTAAGCTAATAAACAAAATCGATTTGAATTTCTTATGAAATGACTTTATGACTGTCAATAAATATCGATAAACGCGATACTCATAAATTGTTGGTTGCCCTAATACGATCTAATACTTCAATCTACATGCGATTAATGAACTTCAGTTTACCTAAGTTATACGAATGATATTACAAATACAATCACTGTGAACAATAATGGTTAATTTGAATTCAACGAAACAAATGAATTTCCGAAACAAAAACTAACCAGAAGTACAACAACCATGATTCCAAGGTGAACAGTGAGCACCTGTTCTAAAATAACACTCAGAACTACAACAAGGATCATGTGGATTTCGACCAGCATCACATTCTTCACCCTCATCAATACGACTATTACCACAAAGATTTGAAAGAGCCACAGATGAATCTTCGAAACATAATGGAGCACGAGTAACCAAACAAGCCCCAATTGTCCGTAAACTACATGGTGAAAATTTCTAAAGAAATAAGTATGAGATTGATAGTGATATTTATAAACTGTCATCAAGCAAGTCTAAAATATCTTGATAAGGAAACATTTGACAAGTCCATTACTAATTTCTTCGACTATTGATTGATTATTTATTTTTTTAAACACATAAACAGTGTTATAAAGAGGCACCAAATATATGTGCCCCACACATTAGTTATCATTTAATTTGCGTGTGGGATAGAACACTGCCTCAAAGTGTTACTCCACAAGTTTTTGACCTAAAGGTTTAATCTACAAGGCAGTGGAGCGACGTTAGGGGATATAGTCCTATGGTAGCCAATAGCCAAGGTAAGGTTCATATGCCATTTTTACCTCAGGATCACGTAACCCATTTACTCCATTGGTTTAGATCTTCCAACTCCCCTAGGTAGATCCTCTGTATCTAACAACCCAATTTAAGCGCCGGACAATCGCTCCTTGTCTAAATTTCGTAAAAAACGACCCCGCTGCGAGATAATATGAACAAACTTCCTAATAATAATACAACAAAAATGAATGAAACTTAATGTGGTAAAATCGTTAATATAGGTCATGACTAGTAAACAGATATAGCCTAGAATCTCATCGAGAGACCCACGCACATAGAGATATGAGTATGTGATTGCTATTGAAATTCAAATGCGATTAGTTACTTGCGTCCATTACTACAAAAAATATAAAACAGTTAGAAATCAATCCTGTACTAGGTGGAAAAAGCATAGTTGCTAAATTAGATATTACGTATTCACGCCTGGAAAGAATTGAACCATGATATCTAACAAGGGAGACTATTACCAAAGAGAATAACACATGCCTTTTTATAGATTGATGTTGAGAAATGGTACTTTATCGTGAGGAATCTATTTCATCGTTAATCTTCAGATTGTCAGTTGTGTAACAAATTTCTTAGAAAAAACTTTTTTAGCATTTCATATCCAAAATTTTCACTACATCTGAAAGAGGTAGATTTAATACATTGAAAAAGACCAACCAATATAACTATGTCGAATTTCATGTCAATAATTTCAAACACAAGCTTCTAATCCCAGTAATGAGCATCATATGATATGATAATATAAATCCACGGAAGGTGAATGACAGGAATTAATTACTGTAACCAGGCCTGAATTTATTTGAACGCTCGATAATTGGGTGATTTCACTGCAGTAATGACGACTGGTGATTAGTCATAAAAGAAATTGTCACATTTCAAAAATATTGGAAATACGCAAATCTCAAGGAATTCAAAGTGATGTAAGATGTAGACAATCAATTGCATATAATTTAAACAACTGCAAATCATATGTTGAATTGTTGTAGTCTCGTAAATGTCCATTCCACCATCGAAAAAGAATCAGTCATACTAACGAAGCATGTCAATGTCGTGTTACCAGTAAATATGCAAATACCATTTTGGCCAACAAGGGTTAAGTAAATAACTTTAATGGTTAAGAGGACAAAAACTCTAAACAAATTAATGGGCTACTTTTTTAATATAGTGTATATTCTTAAGTTATTTTTAGTATCAACAGTCGAGATTTCCTTTATATCATACAATTATTTAAACAAAATGTCTTTCATATAAGAGATTTCGAGAAATAACAGTTCGAAATTATGGTTTCTACCTACTGATTGAAAATAATGAGATGATACATGAATAAACTAAAAACTACTGCAACTAACTCCATTATTTTCAGCGTAACCTGAAACTGAATAGGTATACATTAAGTATTTTCCAGAACTTATAGCTGTAGGATTGCATTCATCTGTGTCAGGATCATGATCTGCTCCCCAACTATGTCCTAATTCATGAGCAGTGATTAATTCAGCCAAAGCGTTAACTAGTTGTTGGCCATTATAATCTACATAAGTAGTCCATCCTGTATTTAAATAGAGATCCTTTTTATTATTCCGTCGAACTAATTTGGCAAAAAAAGAAATATACTTTTAAAAAATGGTAGAATATGTAAAATTTAGTAATTACGTACAATTCTGTGTACTTTATTGTAACGACTTGTGATATTACTTGGCTACATATGAAAAACTATTGACTGTGACTGAAAATCAAATAACTTGGCTCATTAATCAAGTATCATTAACACTGTAATATAATGTGATGTAGTCTTTTCAATAATACTGTGGTATGCGCTATTTGCGCGGACAGACATAGGTAGTATGTACCAGCAACTGAAAGTGGGATAGCTACCAGCAGGTTGAAATAAAGAAAAGAGGAAAGAAAACAGAAAAATCGGAATAACAACTGCATTGAAAGAATGATAGAGCATGTAAAGGATGTGCCTATTGCATGATTTCGACATAATGCAAAGTCACTGTGTGATTATTCATATAGTGATAAATTGGTTTATATATATATATATCGAGAGAGAGAGAGAAAGAGAACGGAAGAGAGAGAATATAGTATAATAAACTTTTTTATGCAGTTTAGTTGTCTTTACAGTGTGCTGGGAAATGATTAACAACCCTAAAAAACAAAATTCTTGATAATGTGGAGTGGCGCATTAGTTGCTAAAGCACTCAACTTTTAACCAACAAGTTTGAGTCTCATTTTATCTTAATTTAGAGAGCCAAATACTATTTAGTAAGCCATAAAAAAGCTACATGAACTAAAATCTGCTTTATAAGCGAGTGAGAATTATAATATTATTACTAAACCAGCCTACAGATGGTAGTCTCTCGTTATTTTGTAATATAATTAATTTATTCTGATACTACCTTTTACTACTTTACCATCATACTTCTTTTCTAAACTTAATGTATAATTATTGAGATTGATTGTTAAAACATTTAAAACACGTTTTCTATGATAAAATCTATAATGTCTCAAAAAGTAGGGACGATTGACCATGACGCAATGACCTGACAGTTGGGTCTTAACTTGTTGTAAATAAAGCGACCTAAAAAGCTTATAACTTTTAATCACTTTGTCATATAGTCATCATTTATTTTTGTGCTAATACTTGGTATACAAGTATATTATTTTATTAGATAAAAGGTTGATTGATTGACTATTGTTCTCGTTGCTAATCTCAATTCATTGGAGGTTTACGGCGGTGATTCATTATAGTGAGTAGTCAGAATTCGATTATATACATGTCTCAACTACAGTTGATAAAGATTCACTACTTCATCAATCGATTCGCTATTCCTCCGCAACACCCTGCATCTAACCTCAGAATTGATAATTCGATGATCCCAACATATAAGAGCAATGCTTCGAAAACATTTAGAGTCAATTACTAGTAACCTAAGAATACCCTCCACTTTTAAAGGCCACATTTAGTAGCCAAACATGTTCTCTTTGTCGCCTGAGTTGGTCAGGAGACTCTGTATTGTATCATTTTCTTCAGTGAATGGGACTATATCGACTGCATATTTTAATTATATAAGAAAACTTCTTTATCAACCCCTGAAAAGCTCGGTGAGGGAAGTGTTATTTCGAAGAAGTTATCTATGACGAAATTAAATAAAAAGGGAGATTGATTGCAATAGACTGTAATGAATATTCTTTACATTAATTGACTGTAGAATGCAAGAAATAAAATATAATCATATTATCAACAAGTTATGTTTGGACTAGCGCATGTTGAGAACCACTTATGGGGCAAATATATTTACTTTTCGTCTTCTCTTAGACCTTGAGTTTTAAAATCATAATTTATTGTCTATCCTACGAATCTATTTTTTCTTCCTGATTCATATTAATTATCCCCAATGCTTTCTATTACCACTGATTATGTCACTACTTTTACTACTCTGATATTCGTATCGACAATTTAATCTCTTTCCGTTGGTGCAGTATGGGAATTTGAAAGGATGAACAAATGTGCTAAGCCCTACTTTGTTTATGATTGACTGATTTACACGTGGAAACAGATGGGAATATGAAAGTTGCAGAATATAACACTACAACCCAAAAGACCTAAACAGATATTCTCTTGAGATCCAGGTGATAGATTTCCGTGTTAATAATGCATTAATTAATAGTATGGAATGTAAATGAAAAACTGAAGACTTACCAGGTGAGGAACAAATACCGCCTAACTTTTTTGGATCCGGGGATGCCAACCAAGACATCCCCAAAATGCCTTCATCTATTCTTTTGTAGCTAAGTAAATGAGCCAAACAGGACTGTTTCGCATCGAATCGACTAAATGCCTAGGGAAAATTTGGGTAAAGTAGGTGAAATAGTTCGTTAAATACCGCCAAGATTTAAGCTTAAACCGGGGTACAATGAAAGGTTGTTTAACATTACACATATTCTACAACTGACGTCTAAGAGTAATTCGTAAATATTAAAACCATCGTAAACTGATTGATGAGATTAAACATCAGCAACAATCGATATGGTTAGCACAATAGTTGTGCGAATGGTAGTCAGAGTAAGATCACGATTACAGAAGTCCTATAACGAACACATCGAAACATGATGAGCATACATGAGGCCTTAAATTTAAGGTCTGAAGCATACAGATATCGCTACAAAATTTCCAGTTAGAATCACAAAATTAAAATAATAAGATCTTGGTCATATGATACTCAATTATTACCTATTAAGTGGATACACATTCATCTGCTGTTGATATGAGAGCAAACGATCTTACTATTTATATTTTTTTACAGTTTTCCTTTCAGAAAAGGTAATGACTCAAAATAATGGAATATGTTACCAGGTTCAACGTTTTGTGATAGACTGATCAGAGTTTGCAATATGGTGAAATCTAAGTTTCTTAAAAATGTAAGAAAACGAAAATAAGTAGAATTATTACAAATATTGGTTACCCTATGGACCGTTGGAAGCGACATGAGGAAGCATATTTGAGCAGTCTTGAAGACGAAACTAATTCTGAAATGCATGTTGCACTAACGGAGAACTTATTTGCATACTCTAGTCTTCAAACTTGTCAAACGTATAAACATATACTACTTTGTGCGACTTAAGTAGCATTTATCCTAACGTACAAAATGCTACGGCTTATTGTTGTAGAGTTTGAGTTGTGATATAATAATAGGTTTGACGTCAGACAACCAAATTAGAGAAAAGAACAATAAAATGAAAACTAGAAACTAATCAATAGAAGACAACTCTACTATAGTATACACGGTTAAACACTTGTTTATCTTCTGAAACAAAATAATCGATAAAGTGCATCACGGTGGAGTGTTGTTTACGAAATTGAAAGGACGCTTTAATCGGATTGGTGGATACGGAGGACCTATCTAAAGAAGTTTGAAAACCCTGAATCCAAACTAATGGTGCACACGGGTTACATGATCCTGAGGTAAAAATGGCATGTGAACCTTACCTTGGCTATTGGCTACCACAGGACCATATCTCCTAACGTTGCTCCACTGCCTTGTAGATTAGATCTTTAGGTCAAAGGCTTGTGGAGTAGCACTTTGAGGAAACCACTTGCTTCGGTTTTGGCGCCCGGGCAGTGTTCTATCCCACACGCAAATTAAATGATAACTAATGTGTGGGGCACATATATTTGGTGCCTCTTTGTAACAATGTTTACGTGTTTAAATAATAATAATAATACTTCAATACTAGTAATTAAGGATGATAAACTGAAAAACAAAATGGATAACATCTACTTACCAGCATAGTTTTATTACTTGATTCCCCAAGCAACTTCCGTTAAATTTTAACTAAAGAAAAGTTATACAGGATCTGCATGTTTCTGTGAAATTTGTCACTATATTATTCTGACCTTGATATACAGCTAAACTAATTAAATATGGATTAACTAGTGAGATGACATTTTATTGTGTCAGTCTACTGTCATTCAGTTGACTATAGATTATAATATTAAGTGGAAATATACTATATGAGTTTTAAGACTTACATTCCCAATCGTGTTCTTAATTATTCAGTTGGTCAAGCGTATTTGTGGCCATTTGAAAACCTAATTTACGATAAATTTATTTCATGAAGAAAACTAAATCTTATCGAAATGGACTTTTATCTGATTATTTTGTCGAGTTCAGTTTCATTTATGATAAGAAAATACGTAAACCAACGTGTGGTCTACACATGTGGTAATATTCTATCACAATAAATACTAAATAAAACGAACCTCTATGATTTCAACGAAATATAATTCGAAATAAATATTTATTAAAAGCTTACACGCAATAGGGATGTAGCTGTCCAAATTTTTCCACCTATATCAGTTGGTGAATTGTAGTGACCATAATCAGCTGTCCATGATTCATGGATTACAATCTATAGTGTTAAGAGGAAAGTATCAACTAAAGTCAAACAGCGGAATAATAATATTACACTGCAATAATAATAATAATAATAATAATAATAATAATAATAATAATCAAAGTTGACTAACACTTACCTCATGTAATAAAAAGCCATAACCAATCATTTCATAATGTTTATCATCCAAAAATTTTGAAGTAAGAAACAGATAATTTAACCGGTCAAATACTTTAATCTTTAGGGAAAGAGTGCAAATTATTAAAATAACATGGTAACAAATAACAAAAAAACTAACAACATGACCGATAGTTTTAGGTCCATTTCTATTTCCCATATTAGTGAAAAAATCGTAATCAGCGATGAGTGTCAGACGACAAAGTTTGCTCTGTAATTGTGCGGGGTTAAATCGTTTTCGTCTAATGTAGATATCTGTAAAATAAGTGAGAAAAGAATGGAAATTGAAGCAAAACTCGATGAACAGTAAATTGGCTGCTCATGTAATAAACTACAAAAAATAATGAATTGGACAAATTGAAAATCAGTTCACCGAAAATTGCAAACAAAAAGATACTGAGACTCAGTGATCGTAAAATTAATTCTCAATCTACTGCCTATGAACAACTCTTCATGACACTAATAGAAAAAGGTATAGCGTTTGGCAACACTGATAAAATGTAACTTTCTAAGTACTAAGATCCGGTATACATATTATATCTGTCAAGTGTAACATACCTGGTATAAAGACTGGTGTAAGTTAATGTCTAGTGCAACAAAAACGTTTGAAATGGACAAGGACATTAACTACTTATGTGACTTAATTAAAAACGTACCTTTGTTCCAAGAATTTACACATAGCTATGTAGTCACTTGTCCTTAATGGATTCACCTTTACAGAAAATGTGAACATCAAACAAGTAATGTCAGCTAGTATGTACCGAATGGGTATCTATGACAAGTGTGACCGCCATATTGAGTCGACCATTGATCAATAATAGCTGCTTGTGACTCTGACAAACAGGGTTTGCGCGTAAACGCCTTTGGGTATAATTTAACGAAGAGAAATGGAACAAAGTTACAGTAATTATATGATTAACTGAGTGAACAAGTGACACCTACTGACAGAAAAACAGCTTGCGACAGAGCAGAAAAACGGATCGGTTTAAGTTGTGAGGAAAAGAGAAGGAAAGGGCATTGAAGTTGAAGGGAAATATGAATGCGAACAGTAGTTAACAAAAAAAGATTTAATTTGGTTAGAAATACAACTGAGATACGTCCTTTCATTTAAAAGGATTTATTCTAATTTTATAAAAATTCCAATAACCAACAGTATGATAGCTACAGAGTTTCTTTTCTGAGACATATCTGATGTATCAAGCCCGGTTTTTATGATTTCCAAGACTAGGGAGTCGTAGACTGACAGATCTCGGTCTTATATAGCCAGCTTTTATGTCAAGGTACCATATCATAAAATTACCACTTCTGAGCTTTTCACACCCACTCCAAACTTCAGGAAATAACGCACGATATGAAGGCCCCTGGGATGTTATTCGTAACGCATGCCCAAGCCAATAGTCTCGATGCTTTAAGATAGTTGGATTGCAATCAAATATTCTACTGGACCTCAACATTACTTACGTGGTGTTGCCACTGGATGTTACCAATCCATAGGAGACAACGATGATCACAGACAGGATCGTTAACCATATGCAGTCCCAAGAGGACATGTTTCATGAGCATAGATTAGAACTGGTCTGACCGAAGTGCCGTCTGTTCGACCTTTCACAGTCAAAACAACATAATGACAGTGCGAAAGATGGTCCAGATTTATAATTATGTAGATTATTAGGTCAATTATCACGTCATGGTTCAGTTTAGTCTCCATAAGCAAAAATAGGCTACACTCATTACCGCGCGAACAAATAATTGTTGATTGCGTCACACCCCTGAAACATAAAACAGCAGTCATTTCACTGATGAACGGTTTTCTTAAAATGCTATGGAGAACAAGAGGACACAGAGTGGGAACAAAATATAAGGAGTGACTAAAAAGTCCTTTTCAAGTGAAAACCAGCGTGGAGACTGAGAGCGAGGTATATTCACCAAAACATAGGGGAGCAAGAACGATATGATTCCCCGTTATGACGTCGGATTTTATTTGATGAATGAATTTTCAACTGTTAAAATCAGAGAGGAGAATGTCGATTGATAGATGACATGAACTAATAAAGTGCCAAGTGATATCTATTCACAAGATCAAACTATTGACGTGAGACCTCGAATCATTCGAGGTCAAAAACAAGCCCATTGTCCAGAAGAATAGGCTTTTTGTCTCGTAAAATAACGACCTTATATACAAAACATTCATACAAAAATAACATGACAAAATCACATAAACGATTGGACAAAGTCAATTTATGTGTCGTTTATTCCCTAATTAATTAAATCCTGAATGTTAAACCTAGTTCCGGCCCATAGTATCATTTCATTAAAAAAACTTGAAAATATACACCAACACGATACAAATGAAAAAATTGCATGGAGAAAGATATCTCGTCAATTAAAAATTGCCTATTATTTAGCTTATATGTGAAGTGGCATGTATATTTAAAAAAAGATTCTTTTATCAGATTCAAGTGTAATTAAACTACCACTAACTAACCAAATGTATCAGTTTCTAGGGCCAATAAAGTGGCTGATTTATAATTCATTGAATTACTAAAATGAAGTTAACAACAAGTCAGAGGACGGAAATCAAACACTTACTTTAGTATCTTTTCAAATTGAATATCTCTTAGGCGATAAATTAACATGGAATTGTTCCCAATATAGTTAATGTAGTCAGACAATGGCTAAGAATAACAATTAACATACCATAATTTACCTCAATAACAAAAATATCTGATTCCACATGAATATGAGCGCTGAGGAGTGAAGTGTATGGTTCCAAATGAGCTAACACAAATGATTGGTTTGAATCTGATACATAGCCAATATGTAGTTCTGCATATTTTCTTTTCGGATAAAAAGAGTAGGTACCATTTGTACTGATAAATCTGACTGACAAGTTAGAATTATGAAAAGATGTTTCACGATAGAGAATCAAGTACCATGGTCTAGAGGAATGAGTAAAAAAAATAATTACCTTCCCCATGCATAAAACACGGTTTGCCTGATCTGCCGTCCACTAATATCTCGAGCGATACGAAAGGATGGTCTCTCAAATAACTCATATTGTCCCAGCTGTGAAAATATATCAGATTCTAAAAACATTTTGAAATGATATCAAGGAACACACTACCTATCCTCAGAGTATACTGAATAAATAGAGTCAGAAAAAACAGTAAACACATTGTTCACAGCCAATTATTAGCTGTATAAACCTCATACTGTATTTTGTTAAACGTGAAATTAAATATCAGGGTCTGGAAAGTTTATGGAGTAACATGAATTGGATTTAAATCAAAAAGACGACTGAATGAGCACAAAAACATCAATTGGAAAGTCTGAAATAGAAAAAAAAATTTGAAAAAAGGCTAATTAAATGGAAAACAAATAAAATTAATAGATTGCAAATTATTTGCAGATACAGTAGGTTTCGACACTGGTAACATGAATGGTAATTAGTTAAAACATCCCGCTGGAAACGGCCCAGTCAGGATATATATATATATATATATATATATATATATATATATATATATATATATATGAATCACTGATGAGTTTATTGTGGAATGAACAAAGCAGTTCTTTAATATTTAGATTACATTTCGAAATATGTAGATTCCATCGAGTAGCTACGTCGTTAAATTCCTAAATAATTATTTTAATTCAAAACCAGACTCAAACATTGACACACTAGCAAGCTAATTTCATCTATTTACATTACATTCTCAGTTAACGGAATTCATTAGACTGACACATGACAATGCACTGACCTTCAGGCTACACCTATGATTAGAAGCTTAAACTGAGGTATGTGACGTTGAGTCAGTCAGTCAGCAACAACATAGAACCAAGAACATATATGCATCGGTCTAAGTTGCCACACCTCATTAGCAAAACAAGAGGAACAGCAAATTCGTAGAATCAGTTACTTCAATAGTAGTAATATATGAAAAAAAATTGCATAAAAGAATGTGATACAAAGAGAAAGAATTAGTTTGTAGAAAGGTATGAAGTGATTTTCAACTCCGCCTGTAGCTTTTCTAGAGTTACTGCCGGTCCCAAGCCCACACAAAGGAGGAGGGTTGGGTATGGGGTTAGCGACCCCATCCCGTAGAAAAGCTAACTCGCTAAAAAAACGCTAACCAAAAAAAAGTAATTCAAACCAGTTAAACTCTGCCCTCCGAGTTGAAGGAATAATTATGACGTCTCATGATGAAAGCCGGAATTCTTCGGAAGTCACGAGACCGACGCACCTTCTAACAACCAGAGCAACACTCTTTATAGGTACATGGAACGTCCGGACAATGTTATGCACCCACCAATGATAGCAACGACGATGATAAAGATCAGTTCTATGAAAGGCTGCAATCAATTATAGAGAAGTTCTCACGAAAGGACCTCACCATCCTGATAGGAGATCTAAATGCTAAAGTTGGAGTGGACAACACAGGATATGAAGATGTAATTGGACGACATGGATTAGGAGAGAGAAATGAAAATGAGGAGAGACTTGCAAACCTATGTGCATTCAACAAATTGGTTATAGGCGGCACAATATTCCCACACAAACGTATACACAAAGCTACATGGATCTCACCGGACCACACCACAGAGAACCAGATAGATCACATCTGTATCAACAAAAAATTCCGAAGATCAATGGAAGATGTGAGAACCCGGAGAGGAGCTGACATAGCTTCAGATCACCATCTGGTTGTGGCCAAGATGAGACTGAAGCTAAAGAAACACTGGACAACTGGACAAACCGCATTACAAAGGTTCAATACAGCCTTCCTTCGAGATACTGACAAGCTCAATGAATTCAAGATAACTCTCAACAACAGATTCCAAGCTCTACAGGATCTACTCAATGAACAACAAACTACTTTGGAGGACAACTGGAAAAGGATAAAATAAGCACTAACTTCAACGTGTCAAGAGGTTCTTGGTCCTAAGAAGCATCATCACAAGGAATGGATCTCTATGGGAACCCTGGACAAAATTCAAGAAAGGAAGAACAAGAAACTAGCAATTAACAACAACCGAACACGAGCAGAGAAAGTCAAAGCACAAACAGACTACGCAGAAGCAAACAAGCAAGTGAAGAAAAGCATTAAAGCCGACAAGCAGAAATACGTGGGAGAACTAGCAACGACGGCGGTAAAAGCTGCAAGAGAAGGAAATATGAAACAACTGTATGATACAACGAAGAAATTAGCAGGGAGATATAGCAAACCAGAGAGACCAGTCAAGGACAAAGAAGGAAAGACAATCACTGAGATTCAAGAACAGAGGAAAAGATGGGCAGAATACTTCGAGGAACTGCTGAATAGACTAGCCCCATTGAATCCACCGAACATCGAAGCAGCCCACACTGACCTTCCAATATATGTCACTCCACCAACGATCGAAGAAGTCAAGATGGCCATCAGACAAATAAAAAGTGGGAAGGCGGCAGGACCTGACAATATACCAGCTGAAGCACTAAAGTGAGACATGGAAATAACTGCAAACATGCTTCACCTTCTATTCAAGAAGATTTGGGAAGAGGAACAAGTGCCAATGGACTGGAAAGAAGGATATCTCATCAAGATACCAAAGAAAGGAGATCTGAGCAAATGCGAGAACTACAGAGGCATCAGTTTGTTATCAGTACCAGGAAAAGTCTTTAACAGAGTGCTGCTGAATCGGATGAAAGGCGCAGTAGACGCCGAACTTAGGGATCAACAGGCTGGATTCCGTAAGGATAGGTCGTGCACAGACCAGATTGCGACACTACGGATCATCGTTGAACAATCAGTTGAGTGGAACTCATCACTATACGTCAACTTCATTGACTATGAGAAGGCGTTTGACAGCGTGGACAGGAGAACGTTATGGAAATTTCTTCGACACTATGGAGTTCCTGAAAAGATTGTCAACATTATCCAAAACTCATACGATGGACTACAGTGCAAAGTCATGCATGGAGCACAGCTGACAGATGCATTTCCAGTAAGGACCGGAGTCAGACAAGGCTGTCTACTCTCCCCATTCCTCTTCCTTCTAGTGATTGACTGGATTATGAAGAATTCGACATCTGAAGGGAAATACGAAATACAATGGACTTCTCAGAATCAATTAGATGATTTGGACTTCGCAGATGACCTATCCCTCCTCTCTCATACACACGAACAAATGCAGATGAAGACAGCAAATGTAACAGCAGCCTCCGCATCGATAGGCCTCCACATTCACAAAGGAAAAAGCGAAATTCTCAAATGCAACACGGAAAACACCAACCCAATCACACTTGATGGCGAAACTCTGAAAGATGTGGAAACATTCAAGTAACTGGGGAGCATCGTTGGTAAACAAGGAGGATCGGATGCAGATGTAAAGGCGAGGATTGGCAAAGCAAGGGCAGCATTTCTACAATTGAAGAACATATGGAACTCAAAAAAGCTCTCAACCACTTTCAAGGTCAGAATCTTTAATACGAACGTCAAGACAGTCCTACTATATGGAGCTGAAACGTGGAGAACTACTACGGCCATCATCAGGAAGGTACAAGTATTTATAAACAGTTGCCTACGCAAAATACTCAATATTCATTGGTCGGATACTATCAGCAACAGCGTTTTATGGGAGAGGACAAACCAGCTTCCAGCCCAAGAGGAAATTAGGAAAAGACGTTGGAAGTGGATAGGACATACATTAAGGAAAGCATCAACGTGCATCAGGACTCAATCCCTAACTTGGAATCCGGAAGGGAAGCGGAAAAGAGGAAGGCCAAAGAACACACTACGCCGGGAAATAGAAGCCGATGTGAAAAGGATGAATGTTAACTGGAAAGAACTGGAAAGGAAGGCTCAGGACAGAGTTGGATGGAGAATGCTGGTGAGCGGCCTATGCTCCTCAACGAGGAGTAACAGGCGTAAGTAAGTAATGAAGTGATTTTAACCTCACGGTATAAGGGAAGACAAGGAGTGTATACACCTACACCATTGTGGTTGATTCTGAGCCATGTCACCCAGAGTCTCCAACCAATTGTTACGATAGTCACGTGGGCCCCAACCAAGTAGTCTGCATCTACCAACATGGCTCAGACTAGAAGTTAGTGACTTCAAGGAATGATGCCGCGTTTTGGTTTGGCCGCCCCTAACTTTCTTTCAACCGTCTTTAACACTAGTCAGCACTGCGCGCCGTGGTAATCGGTGTTCATGCATACGTAACACGTGGCCCAACCATCTCAGTCGATGAACATTCATGACCTCATCAACTGGTTTACCACCATTCCCTAATATCCTGTGTCTAACCTCACTATTACTTACCCAATGATATCGAAAGATACGAGTAATATTTTTAAGATAACTGTGATTAAATGCTAGTAACGTACGAGTACCCTCTACCCTTAATGACCACGTTTCGCAACCGCAAAATAAAGCAGGACGAACTGATGGGCGGTAAACTCATCCCTTAATTGATAGACGAATATCTCGCCACCGCCATAGGTCATGTAAGTTGGTAAGAGCCAAAAGAGCTTTTTGAATCAGTGCAGAGATTTCGTCAGACACCAACCCATTAGGGCTGATCAGACTTCCAGGATAAGTGAAGTTGTCGACGCGTCCGACTACTTTACTCTCTATCTTCAGTTCAGGTGTTGACGCTGTAGTGACCGGCCAGTCTCGATAAGAACACGATTGGAATAACGGAAACAATTATTATTATTGTAACCAATTGTACCAGAGATTGTTTTACTGTATTTGTTTAACTGTATCAGTTAAACTTCTGCTTCCGCTCTCCGCCTTGTTTGGTTCGAGCTTGCTCACGCACTGCTTATTCGCTTGTACTCTTTGGCACGTCTCGGTATTATTTCGGTACCACGAGATCGCCAATAAATATACTTGATCTGGACTAGTAAAGCCTTCTGGTTTACGGGCTATCAAGGGAACCAAGTCATATTTGTACGCGTAATCGAATAGTAGTGGTGATCATAGTCCGTCCACGACTCGACATCCACTACAACGCAAGCCAAGCTGCTACGCAAAAGTGGAAAATCAGTCGGTGGGGCAGTGAATCATCATCCACTGAAGTGTTTAGAACGTGTGTTACGTATGCCCAAGCACTGTCTACCTTGGCGAGCATTGCTAGCTATTTCAGTAGATTGGAAGCTAGCGACGGCCGGACCAATACAGCATCA